TCCCAATGGCCAGCATTGGATTCATAATGTCCACAGCTGTAATGCTGTGTTTCCTGGGTGGTGCTGATGTGGGAGGCAGAGATGCTGTGAACCCAGCTTAGAAGCAAGCTGACTAGAGTGGGCTGAGTCCTCTGGGCCAGGCACTGTCTTAGGGCAGTAGCACGCTGCACCCATGGAAGTTCTTCTGTTCAGTGACTTTGGAAACTTGGTGCCGCTAAACTGATGAAGATAATATGGGGAGAGCCTTCGCCTTCACCAACTTTATTTTTTAAAAAATGTATCTATTTGTTTATTTCAATGGCACAGTGACAGAGGGAAGACAGAGAAGGAAAAATCTTCTATCTGCTGGTTCAGTCCCCAAATGATCACAACAGCTGAGGCTTGGCCAGGCTGAAGCCAGGAACTAGAAACTAGGAACTCCACCAGCTCTTCCACCTGGGTGTCAGGGACCCAAGCACATTCCCTTTCCAGGCACATTAGCAGAAAGCTGGAGGGGAAGTAGAAGAGCCAGAATTCTAAGAAGCATTTTGATATGGGATGTGAGCATTCCAGGTAATGGCTTAACCAGCTGTAACACAACACCTGCCCAACTGCCTTTAGCTATTAGCCTTCCAGAGAGACCTTTCCTGATAGTCCTGGATAGATTCTACTCCACTCCACTTCCCTTGGCTTTTTTATTTTTAAATGATTTATTTATTTAGGGGCTAGCATTGTGGCATAGTGTGTGAAGCTGCTACCTCTAATGCAAGCATCCCATCTGGACACATCAGCTGCTCCACTTCCAATCCAGCTCTCTGCTGATGTGCCTGGGAAGACAGTGGAAGATGATCCATGTACATGGGCCTCTGCACCCACTTGGGAGACTCAGAAGAAGCTCCAGGCTCCTGGCTTTGACCTGGCTCAGCTCTGGCCATTGCAGCTATTTGAGGAGTGAACCAGAGGATGGAAGATCTCTCTCTCTCTCTCTCTCTCTCTCTCTCTCTCTCTCTCTGTGTGTGTGTGTGTGTCCCCCTCTCTCTATAACTCTATCTTTCAAATCAATAAATCTTGAAAAAAAAAAGAGTTATTTATTTGAAAGGCAGAGTAACAGAGAAAGGGAGACACACACACATCTTCTGTTTTATTCCCTAAATGTCTGTAATAGATGGGGTTGGGCCAGGCCAAAACCAGGACCTGGGAATTCCATCTGAATTTTCTGCATGGGTGATAGGGCCCCAAGGACTTGGGCTATCATTTGCTCCAATATGGGATACATGGATTTAATGAAATTTTTTAAAAAAGTTTATTTTTATTTTTTGAAAGGTACAGCAACACCTGTGCCAGGACAAATTCAGGGGTCAAGGACTCCATCCAGGTCTTTCATGTGGATGTTAGGGACCCAGATACTTGAGCCATCACCTTCTGCCTCCCAGTAGAATTAGCAGGGATCTGGATCGGAATCATAGTGGCCAGGACTGGATCCAGCTATTCCTATATGGGATGTGGGTGTCCCAAAGGGCAGTTTAACCTGCTATGCTCCAACACCTGCCCACTCCAATACCTGCCCCTAAAAGTACTTCTTTTTTCACCAAAATAAATTTATCTTTTTTTAAAGGATTTATTTTATTTATTTGAAAGAGTTACAGAGAGAGGTAGAGACACAGAGAGAGGTCTTCCATCCCCTGGTTTACTACCCAGATGGCTGCAGTGGCTGGAGCTGCGCCGATCTGAAGCCAGGAGCCAGGAGCTTCTTCCGGGTCTTCCACATGGGTGCAGGGGCCCAAGGACTTGGGCCGTCTTTTACTGTTTTCCCAGACCATAGCAGAGAGCTGGATGGGAAGAGGAGCAGCCGGGACTAGAACCGGCGCCCATATGAGATGCCGGCGCTTCAGGCCAGGGCTTTAACCTGCTACGCCACAGTGCCGGCCCCAATTTATCTTTTAATTCCATGTGTCCATGTGAGTACATACACTTCAGTTTATAAACACATGGGATTGAAATATAATGTACATTTCCAAGGAACTTTCCAAAGAGCCCCATTTGTATGACTACAGTTTCTTCAGCCACTCATCCATCAACAGACACTTAGGTTGTGTCCACATATTCAACCTGTTTGCCATTGACAGGGCCTGGGAATCAGTGATCATGGTGGACAGTATTACTTTTTTCCCCATTATATTCACCCACATGATTCTAATCCCACTTAACTTCAAAGAAAGCCAGGAAGACCTGGTTGGAGATGAGATCATGTAATAGCAACTTTTTGTTTTGCTCTCTCCTCATTTAAGACCATCTTTTGCTTGAAGCCACTGGGAGGCCTCTTTGTGCCAAAGGGCTGGATGAAGCCAGGGGGATAAGCTGTTTTCACAGCTGTGCTGAACTCCAGTCCCAGAGCTGTCCATCCCACTCCTCACACACTGGCGACTCTGGTGAAGGGGGAAGGACGTAAATCATGCCTGCCCACATATGTTCCCAGCTCGTTTGTCTCTGAGTCTCACCCAGGGACCTCTTAAACTCTGACTATTAAGTATTGAGCCAAAACTGTGGGAAAGGTGACTCTTTAGCATAACAGTCAGGCCTACCCCATGGGCAAATCTCCTGGAGTGTGTGCAGGTGTGCCTTGCTCTACACAATAAAGGCATTGACAAAACCTAGATGGATGGGACCACACGCTGGTCAGGGCCACCACCTTTTCTTATGGAGGAGGAAACTGTTTTTCTCAGAAGTTTCGTAAACTACACGGTCTCCCAAGACTCCCCTCCTTTTGGCAGTTCACGATTTTATGAAGATGTGTAGGTATCAGATTTTTGAAATGTGCTGTGGTAAGAGCCAGCATTTATTTTGTTATTTCTGTGCCCCACAGGGCAAAGAGCTCTTCCTGTGTGTTTTCATTTAGTCATTAGAATAATCTGAGTCAGGTGTGAGGGGGCCTTAAAGAATTTGTGGGAAATGGATTTTAAAGATATGTTTACTTTGGTGCAAAAATTTTGAAGTATATGTATAGTTTCTTTTTTTTTTTTAAGATTTATTTATTTATTTGACAGAGCTACACAGAGAGAGAAGAAGAGGCAGAGGAGAGAGAAAGAGTCCTCCATCATTGGTTCACTCCCCAACTGGCTGCAATGGCGGGAGCTGCGCCAATCTGAAGCCAGGAGCCAGGAGCTTTCTCCAGGTCTCCCATGTGAGTTCAGGGACCCAAGGACTTGGGCCATCCTCCACTGCTTTCCCAGGCCATTGCAGAGAGCTGGATTGGAAGTGGAGGAGCCAGTGCCCATATAGGATGCTGGCACTGTAAGTGGTGGCTTCACCTGCTACAGCGCCACAGCATTGGCCCCACATAGTTTTTTATAATATGCGTTTTCCGTGAACTTTTTGAACACCCTTCATATGCATGAGTTTCAATTTTTTTTTTGCAGCAAAATTAACTTATTTATTTACTTGGGAAGAGGGGGCAGAGAGAGAGAGAGAGAAAGAGAGAGAGGAGAGAGAGAGAGAGAAAGAGAGAGAGGAGAGAGAGAGAGATAAACAGAGAAAGGGCAGGCCGGTGCCGCGGCTCAATAGGCTAATCTTACGCCTAGCGGCGCCAGCACACCGGGTTCTAGTCCCGGTCGGGGCGCTGGATTCTGTCCCGGTTGCCCCTCTTCCAGGCCAGCTCTCTGCTGTGGCCAGGGAGTGCAGTGGAGGATGGCCCAAGTGCTTGGGCCCTTCACCCCATAGGAGACCAGGAGAAGTACCTGGCTCCTGCCATCGGATCAGCGCGGTGCACAGGCCGCAGCACGCCGGCCGCAGTGGCCATTGGAGGGTGAACCAACGGCAAAGGAAGACCTTTCTCTCTGTCTCTCTCTCTCTCACTGTCTACTCTGCCTGAAAAAAAAAAAAAAAGAGAGAGAGAGAGAGAGAAAGGGCAAGAACTCTCCTCTGCTGGTTCACTGCCCAAATGCTTACAACAGCTGAAACTGGGCTAGGTTGAAGCTAGGATCTGGGAACTGTATTCAGGTCTCCCACTATCTGTGGCAGGAACCCAACTACTTCACTCATTGCTGCTGCCTCCCAGGGTCCACATCATCAGGAAACCGGAGTCAGGACCCAGAACCAGGAATTTTGATGTGGGATGCAGGTGTTCTAACAGGTGTCTTAACTGCTAGGCCAATCACCTTCCCCTAAAGTTTTCTTTTAATTCCATTTCCACCAACTTTTGAAGTACTCTAACACTTGACGTCAAGGCATCTGGTGTGACTCAATGGCTTTTCTGTTACCCAGTGGCAGGCTGAGCTTTGCTTACCTCCAAGGACTACAACAACCAAAAACGGGCAGCGTGCTTTCCTTTTTCTTTTTTTTTTAATTTTTATTTATTTACTTATTTTTCTTTTTTCTGAAAGTCAGAGAGTGAAGAGATCTCTCACCTGCTGGGTCACTCCCCAAATGGCTGAACCAGGCTGAAGCTGGGAATCTGGAACTCAGTCTGGATTTCTGGTGTAGATGACAGGTACATAAGCACTTGTACCATCGTCTGCTACCTCCTAGAGTACACATTAGGGAGTTGAATTAGAAATGGAATAGCCAAGACTCACCCAGGTACTCCCAGTATGGTATGTGGGTGTGCCAAGAAGCACTTACCTGTTGCATCAAATGCCTGCCCTGGCAGGATGCTTTTCACACTCACCTCAGGAGTCCAAAGATACCAGCTGAAAGAGGAGTTCAGTTTGTAGGCTGTTTTGCTCCATAGGATCTGTAGGTCTGGGATCCACTGAGGCTTGTAGGTTACCATGGTCCAGGCTCTCAGCAATCAATCAGGAGAGCTGATGTGCTTGCTGCACAACAGGGAACTAAATGGTGCTTTCTGGAAGCAAGGGAGGCCCAGCTCATGGCAGCTGGGGATGCGACAGTCTCGAGTTCCATGACTGCGTGCTATTCCAAGACTTTTTCTTTTGGGGACTTAGGTCTGATGCAAAAACTGTCATTATTTCTCCTTGGAATCTGTTAAGGCCTTGATGCATCTGTTGTTTATTTTGTGAACTTAGGCCAAAGGGAGACCTTGTAGAGGCCCCAGTGCCTTCTCTTCACGTTGCTGCTTCCATGGTAAGTCCTGCTGACTACAAAGACCTCAGTTCTCATGAGCGTTTTTGTCTGACATCTCTCTCTGTTTTAATCAGGACCAACAAATGCACAAACACCTCAAATACATCTTAGTTATCTGGCTTAAGGGTTAAAAATTCAAATACTTTCAGAAATGAAGCAGGTGGTATGATGAGTATTATTCAATTAGATGGTAATATTCAACTCTAACCTGTTTGTTACAAAACTTAAGCAGGAACCATGGACTCAATATCAGAAGATATTTTGGATTAAAAGCTCTTCATTTTCATGAGTTGGTAACTGTGTTGATCAGTTTTCTGTTACTATAACAAAATGCCTGGGACTGGGTATTTTATAAAGAAAATAAATTGTTTAGCTTACAGTTCTGGATATTAAAAGCATTGACTGTCCTCTGCTTGCCTCTGGTGGAGGCTCAAAGTGGTTGACACCATAATGGTGGGAGTGCATGTGAGCAGGGAAAGTACAGGGGGAGATAGCAGGCTAGCAAGCTGGGAGGGGCCAGGCACTACCTTTTATAACAACTCATTTTCATGACAACTAATTCAGGGTCCCATGAGAACTCTCTGAAATTCTTCTAAGGGCAGCACCCTCAATGACACAACCAACTCCCATGAGGCTCCATCTTTTGAAGGTTTCACTGCTTCTAAACATCGTCACATTGGGAACCAAGCTTCCAGAACATAAACCTTTTTGGGACATACCACATCCAAACCACAGTGGTTAACTGTTTAAAAAAATCCTAAAATACTATGTAGGGCAAATTAGACACATCTAGGGGCTAGAATTAGCCCACAGAAACCTGGAAATCACCTAACTCTTTACTATGCTGTTGTTGGTGGTGGTGATGGTGGTGGTGGGGTGTGTGTGTGTGCAGCCCTTACTCTTGAAATTATAACGTCCTAGTATTTGCTAAGCCCAGCTGGTTAAGAGGTTGCTAGGTAGACTGATAAGAGGAATGAAAGGGAATAAGAAGACTCAGGTTCCAGTCTGATTCTGTGATAAACAGCTGTGGCCTTGCTCATGTGAATTTCTTGGTTTGGTTTGACCATCCTCATCTATAAAATGAAGGCATTGCTGAAGGTATCCTTAGGGCTCTTTCCAGTTCCAAAATTCTATGTTTATAGCTGTAATTTTAATAATCAAATTCCTTTATTTTGTTTGTAACTGGAATATGTAGTCCAAGTAGTTAGAGACTCAGGATTAAGCTACACTGTGGAAACAAATCAGATTTACAAGAGTGAGAGCATCTTTGATATGTGATTTTTCTGGTAGATTCCCTAAAGGATGAGGCTAAGAAAAGATTTACTCTGAAATGAAATGCTATGCACTTTCCCAGAGGCAATAGCCATTAAGATTTTCACTTGAAGTCTGGGAAGGGTTGATGGAGGAAGGAAGATAAATATACTGACAAAGAGTAGTAAGAATAGGCAAGAAAGTGGAGGATTGAAACTCTTATCCACTGCTGGTGGGAACGTAAAATGGTGCAGTCATTTTAAAAAGGATTCAAGATATTAAACATAGAGTTACCACATGACCCAGCAACTCTACTCCTAAGTATATATTCAAGAGAAGTGGAGATATACATCTATAAACAAACAAACAAACCATTACACAAATGTTCATAGCAGCATTATTTATCATAGCCAAGAAGTGGAAGCAACCCAAAATCCATTAGAATGGATAAATACAATGTGGTACATTCACACAATGAATATTATTCTTCAATGAAAAGAATGAAGTTCTGATACATACGACATCATGAATGAATCTTGAGAACATTATGCTAAGTAAAAGAAGCCAGTTACGGAAGATGACACATTGAATGACTTAATTTGGATGAAATGGTAAGAAGAGGCAACTCTATAAAGACAGGAATCAGATTAGTGGTTGCCTAGGGCTTGGGGGGATGGGAGAAATGAGGAGTGATGCTAAGGGACATGAAGTTTCCTTTGGGATTATGAAAATCTCCTAAAATTGTAATGACTATTGCACAACTCTGAATATACTAAAATCCATTGGATTATACACTTTAAGTAGGTGAATTGTGCAATATATAAAGTATATTTCATCATTGGGGCTGGCGCTGTGGAGCAGCGGGTTAAAGCCCTGGTCTGAAGCGCCGGCATTCCATATGGGCACTGGTTCTGGTCCTGGCTGCTCCTCTTCCAATACAGCTCTCTGCTATGGCCTGGGATAGCAGTGGAGGATGGCCCAAGTCCTTGGGCCCCTGCAGCCATGTGGGAGACCCGGAAGAAGCTCCTGGCTCCTGGTTTCAGATCAGCGCAGCGATCGGTGCAGCTCCAGCTGTTGCAGCCATCTGGGGAGTGAACCAGCGGATGGAAGACCGACTCTCTGTCTCCACGTCTCTCTGTAACTCATTCAAATAAATAAAATAAATCTTTAAAAAAATAAAATAAAGTATATATCATCAATTCTGTTTAAAAAGGAATATTAAGGATACAGATAATATTTAAATAAAGGAATGAATAAAAAGTTAAACAAATGTTAATGATGAGTGTGAAAAGAATGTCATATGACTAGAGTATATTACTAATATCTTTTTAGAGATATTTATTCTGAGAGGGGGCTACTTTTAGCAGGCAAATTGTGATCAAGGAAAGGAATGGAAAGGGATGAGAACTAGTAATTTTCATTCTTGGATGTGGTCCTAAGCACTACGTTGTTTTTCTGAGTATTTTTATGCAGTGTTTGAAGTGCAGGCAGCCAGTTACTCTTGTTTTTCAGCTCCGTTTGTTTGTTTGGCTGGTCTGAGTTAGTAATGAGGATGCATTATGGCAAGAGATATTTATGACATCAGTACCAACAGAGCTGCCAAAATCCTGGGGTCTCTGCCAAGCCCAGTCAGTTGCCCCATGCCTTGCAAAATCCAAATTGCAAAACAAGAAGAGTGGAGGACTTGCTAGTTGGTGCTAAGTTTAGGGGATTCTGCGTTTAAGTGCAAAGGTAAAAACATTATGGCAAGAAGTAGTTACTTTAACTCAATCAGAGGCAATTTCAGTGGAGTTGAAATCTGGGCCATGCTTTGTCAGATTCTCTATGAGGAGGAGTCACAAATTCGTTTATCAACACGGGTCTGGCAGGTAAAATACAAGGGCCTACTTGGTCAGACGGAGGGCTCTTTGCAGCATCTCACTGGAGCCCCTGCTGTGTTTATGCTGCTTATTGCTGTATAGAAAGAAGGACTAGTGTTGCCAAACAGCCTTCTGATTTTTTCAACAAAGCCAAAGGCATAGAGTTTTAAATGTTGCCATCTAATTAGAATAAAAAAAATGCACCAACCCATAGTATTGTAGAAAATGTTTGCATATCATATATTTGGTAAGAGATTTGCATCTATAATATATAAAGAATGTTTACAATTCAGTAAGAAAAACAACTCGCTGGCGCCGCAGCTCACTAGGCTAATCCTCCACCTTGCGGCGCCAGCACACCCGGTTCTAGTCCCGGTCGGGGCGCCGGATTCTGTCCCGGTTGCCCCTCTTCCAGGCCAGCTCTCTGCTGTGGCCAGGGAGTGCAGTGGAGGATGGCCCAAGTCCTTGGGCCCTGTACCCCATGGGAGACCAGGAGAAGCACCTGGCTCCTGCCATCGGATCAGCGTGGTGCGCCGGCCGCGGCAGCCATTGGAGGGTGAACCAATGGCAAAGGAAGACCTTTCTCTCTGTCTCTCTCTCTCACTGTCCACTCTGCCTGTCAAAAAACAAACAAACAAAAAAACTCAATTTTGAAACAGGAAAAGAGCATATGTTTCTACAGAGATATATAAATGACCAATAAAAACATGAAAAGATGCTCAATATCATTAGCATCAGGGTAGTGGAAATCAAAACTACAATGAGATAGTATTTCATATCCACTAGGGAGGCTAGAATAGAAAAAGAAAGATTGTAATAAGCGTTGGTGAGAATACTGAAGAATATTGAGCCTCACGGGGAACCAGTACATCAGTTCCTCCAGAGCTAAATATAGAATGACCCCATGATTGAGCAATCCCTGTTCCTAGGTGTGTACTCAAGATAGCAAAAAAACAGGCTGGCATTGTGGTGCAGTGGCTTAGGCTGCTACTTGCTACAATGCTGGTACTACATATCAGCATGCTGGTTTGAGTCCTTGCTGCTCTGCTTCTGATCCAGCTTCCTGCTAATGCTTCTGGGAAGGCATGAAATATGGTCCAAATGCTTCAGCCCCTGCTGCCCGCATGGGAGGCCTACATTGAATTCCTGGCTCCTGGCTTAAACCTGGCCCAGATATTCCTGATGCAGCCATTTGGGGAGTAAAGCAGCAGATGGAAGATCCCTCTATTTGTCTCTCTTTCTGTGTCACTCTGCCTTTCAAATTAAAAAAAAATCTTAAAAATAACAAACCAAAACTGAAATGCATGTCCACATAAAAACTTGTACGTGAATGTTCATAGGTGTCATATTCACAATATTCAAAAACTGGGAGCCACTCAAGTGTTCATCAAACAGTGGACAAACAAAATAATACTACTCTAGACACTGGAATATTATTTGTCATAATTGGTAATAAAAAAGGAATCAAGTACTGATGCATGTCACAACATGGGTAAATCTTGAGGATGCTATGCTTAGTGAAAGAGGCCAGTTAAAAACATCATATATCTATATCTATATTTAAAGATATATTTTTTATTTATTTGAAAGGCAAAGTTAGAGAGGGAGACACACACACACATATACACATACACACACAAAAAGAGAGAGAGAGAGAGAACTTCCACCCACTGGTTCACTTCCCAAATGGCCACAGTGGCTGGACTGGGCCAGGCTGGAGCCAGGAGGCTGGAACTCTATCAGAGTCTCCCACGTGGGTGGCAGGGGCCCAGCACTAGGACCATTTTCCACTGCTTTCCCAGATGCATTCGCAGGGAGCTGGATCCAGTGGAGCAGCCAGGTCTTGAACTGGCACCCATTTGGGATGCTGGTGTTGTAGGTGGTGGCTTAACTTACTATGCCACAACACTGGCTCCACTTGTGTGAAATGCGCAGAAGAAGTGAAACTATTGACATAGGAAGGAGATGAGTGGCTGCCTATGATGAGGAGGCTTGGGGTAGGAGGAGAGAAATAACTAACTCTAAAGAGTATAGATCTCTTTTTGGGGTGAAGAAACTCTTTTTTTTTCTTTTTTTAAAAGATTTACTTATTTATTTGAAATCAGAGTTACACAGAGAGAGGAGAGGCAGAGCAAGAGAGAGGTCTTCCATTTGATGGTTCACTCCCCAGATGGTCACAATGGCCGGAGCTGTGTCAATCCTGTGCCAATCCGAAGCCAAGAGCCAGGAGCTTCTTCCGGGTCTCCCATATGGGTGCAGGGGCCCAAGGACTTGGTCCATCTTCTACTGTTTTCCCAGGCCATAGCAGAGAGCTGGATGGGAAGTGGAGCAGCTGGGTCTCGAACTGGCGCCCATATGGGATGCCGGCTTTTCAGGCCAGGGCGTTAATCCACTGTGCCACAGCGCCAGCCCTGAAGAAACTCTTCTAAGACTGTGGTGATGGTTGTGCAATTGTGGGAATATAATAAAAACCACTGGATTACACATTTCAAATGGGCTAATTATATGGTATGTGAGTTATATCTCAATAGAGCTGTTATTTAAAAAAAGGATACAGAGAGGCCCACACTAAATATTATCTTCCAGGCTGTCATCTTCAAGTTCTTTGGATAGGACTTGATCACTGCATAGCAAACCTGGAAGGGGGTCATCAAATCTGACCCCTTAGGGAAATAGAGAGGGGGTACTCTGTCCATTCTAAAATCACACACCTATTTAGTAGTAGGCACAGGGCCAGTACTTGTCTCTTGACATTGACCTCTGGGCCAAATGGCTTCCACCCAAAGTCCAGTTTTCAATGCATAGCCAAGGAAGGGATTGTGAGAAATCAACATGATGAACAGCTGGATATGCTCTCTTCCTTTTCCTACATTTTGCAAAGGTCCCCTGAAGGCTTTTTGAGGAAGGGAAAAATAGGGTAAAAATAGGATACTCCTTAAAGGAAGAGACAACTAGAGTGCTTCCCTGGGCCTTTTTTCTTGCAGCATGGGTGGGTCTGCATGTTCCAGACAATCTTCATCTGTTTGTTTCTGATTCATTTACACTTAGCTCATCAATATGTTGTTTGTGCAAGAACCATTTGATGTCCGAGAAACCCCGTGGGCCTCTTAAAGGTTTTTTTTTTTTTTTTTTAAGATTTTTTTTTTATTTGAAGCAGAGAACTGAACTTTGCCAAGAGTAAATGGAACTCAGATATCAAAAGGTCTGAGTTCAGTTTTCATTGAATACAAAGGGTGAGTAGATTCTGAACTGAGCCAAATGCATTCTCCCACCCTTAATTTACAGTACATTGTTCTGGCAGCCTCTGCAATTCTGAAAGTTGGCTTTTCTTCTTTCATTCCTTTCTAGGGTGTAACCACAAGCCTATCTTTTAGTTAACATTACAAAAAATACGGCCTTATTATAACAATTTATGAGAGCCTCACTCATCATTGGTCCTGGACTATCAATTTTATTAGAACAAATTGAAATGTTTGAAAAGGTTAAAACCCTTCTCAGAAGCTGTAAGTCTGTTTGATCTCCTATAAGCATTTCTATTTTTTTAGTCCTCTCATCTGGGAGTTTATTGAAAAGGATGGTCCCCTCCCCCCCCAACTCCTCACCAAGTAGACCATCAACCAGATGAATACTAGAGGAATATTATTGCCTGTAGTGCTCAGTTTTGGAGGCTGGAACAGATTTTTTTTCATTCTGCCTTCCAAGAAGAAAAAGCCAGATAAATGATTGATGAGTACTTTGAGCTTCTTTTTTAACAATAATAAAAAACACATTCAAAAAAAGGGCAAAATTAAATCACTGTGAAATTTTCTTTTCTTCTAATGAATATCTGGGGACCAACATTGTGATGCAGTGGGTTAGGCTCCTGCCTGCAATGCTGGCACCCCTGAAGGGAACAGGTTCCAGTCCCAGCTGCTCCACTTCCAATCCAGCTTCCTGCTAACTTGCCTGGGAAAACAGCAGGAGATGGCCCCTTTACTCATATGGGAGACCTGGAGGAAGCTCCTGGCTTTGGCCTGGCCCAGCCCTAGCTGTTGTGGCCATTTGAGGAGTGAACTAGCAAATGGGAGATCTTCTCTCTCTGTTTATTTATTTATTTATTTATTTATTGACAGGCAGAGTGGACAGTGAGAGAGAGAGAGAGAAAGGTCTTCCCTTGCCGTTGGTTCACCCTCCAATGGTCGCCGCGGCCAGCGCGCTGCGGCCGGCGCACCGCGCTGATCCAAAGCCAGGAGCCAGGTACTTATCCTGGTCTCCCACGGGGCGCAGGGCCCAAGCACTTGGGCCATCCTCCACTGCACTCCCTGGCCACAGCAGAGAGCTGGCCTGGAAGAGGAGCAACCGGGACAGAATCCGGCGCCCCGACCGGGACTAGAACCCGGTGTGCCGGCGCCGCAAGGCGGAGGATTAGCTTAGTGAGCCGTGGCGCCGGCCCTCTCTCTGTTTCTGTTTCTCTCTCTCTAACTCTGCCTTTGAAATAAAAATAAATATATGCATCTATATATTTGTATCAGTATGGACATCTGTATATGTAGACATATTATTATAGAAATGGGATATTATATTGTGATCTTTTTCTATGTTAACTCATAGTTGTCTATATTAATAAAACTATAGCTACTTATCCATAAAATTAATTATACAGATGATTATATGATTCAGTAGAGTCTTGATTGCAAATAACAGAAAACTCATGTCAAACTTATTTAAACACAAAAGGAAGTTTTTTGACTGACATCTGGAAAGTCCAGTGAGTGATCTGGTTTAAGGTGTGGTAGGATTCAGGTCTCAAATAATGTTATGAGGTCTGCTTTTCTCCTCTTTGCTCTGCCTTCTGATGTCTTGGTGCTATTCATATGTTGCATGTGGAGGCTGAAGTTCATGTGAAATACATGTGTCCAGGATTTTGCCTGGCAGAGAAGAGCAAGGCCTGTTCCTGCATTTACCATGAAAACTTCATTGTCCTGTAACAATCTTTGAGCCTATCAACTGTGGCTTAGGTCACATGACTTGCCTCTGGAATCCAAGTGTTTTACTAGGATGACACAGACAGAGAATGAGGGAGGGAGGGGATGAGGAAGACCTGGGCCGCAGGAGTATATTGGAGGGAGAACGTATGCTGAATGGTCAAAACAATTGAGTGATCAAAACATCAGAGCCACAATTCGCACATTTGGACATTTATACTTACTTTGTACTGGTTTCCTGGGCTTAAATTACAAAGTGCCACCACTGGGTACTTTAAAAAGCAAAAATGGATTGTCTCATCATTCTGGAGGCAGGAAGTCTGAGATCAAGGTATCCATGGAGTTGGTTTCTTCTGATGCTGTGTTGAAGAATCCCTTCCATACCTCTCTCCTAGCTCCTGGTGGTTTGTTGGGACTCGTCAGTGTTCATTGACCCAAAGAGGTAACATCCCAGTCTCTGTCTTCATGCTCTCAAGGTGTTTTCCCTTTGTTCATGGTGTTTCCAAATTTCTTTTTTAAAAAAATAAATATATCAGTCCTACTGGAATAGGGATCCACCCAACTCTAATAGAACCTCATTCTAATTAGTTACATCTGTAATGACCTTATTTCCAAATATGATTACATTCTGAGGTACTGGGAGTTAGGGTTTAAATATATGAATTTTGGGGGACATATTTCCAACATATTTTTTTTTTTTTTTTTTTTTGACAGGCAGAGTGGACAGTGAGAGAGAGAGACAGAGAGAAAGGTCTTCCTTTGCCGTTGGTTCACCCTCCAATGGCCGCCGCGGCCGGCGCGCTGCGGCCGGCGCACCGCGCTGATCCGATGGCAGGAGCCAGGAGCCAGGTGCTTTTCCTGGTCTCCCATGGGGTGCAGGGCCCAAGCACCTGGGCCATCGTCCACTGCACTCCCTGGCCACAGCAGAGGGCTGGCCTGGAAGAGGGGCAACCGGGACAGAATCCGGCGCCCCGACCGGGACTAGAACCCGGTGTGCCGGCGCCGCTAGGCGGAGGATTAGCCTAGTGAGCCGCGGCGCCGGCCCAACATATTTTTAATCATATTTCCAACATAATTCTATTTTTAAATTATAAAATGTATTTTATTTGAAAGTCAGAGAGAGAGAGAGAAAGCTCTCTTCTATTCTTATTTGCTGGTTCATTCCCCAAATGCCTGCAGCAATTGGTGCTGGGCCAGACTGAAGCCAGGAGCCACTCAATCCAGGCCTTCCATGCAGGTAGTAGGGACCAACCACCTGAGCCATCACCTGCTGTCTCCCAGAGTGTGCATTAGTAGGAAGCTGGAATTGGAAGTGGAGCCAGAACTTGAAACTAGGCACGCTGATGGGGATGCAGGCATCTTAACTGTTATGCCAGAGGCTTGCTCCCCCAGCACATCCCTGCATGGTTAGTGTTTCTGCCTACCTTTCAGATTCATCCAGTCTGAGTCTTAATGCTGAAACCAGCTGTCTCCTTCCTTTTGCTGGTGAAAAGGTTGAGTGTGAGGTTAGAGTGAGGGTTGTGGGCAAAGGACTTGAGGCTAGAGTGAGGGTTTTGGGCAAAGGAATTAACCTCTGCAAACCTCAGTCTCTGCAATCAGTAAATGAGGATAATAGTCTTCCACTCACTGGGCTGTTTTGGGCTAGAAACACAGCGCTCAGGAAATGTCAGTCAGTGTGATTATTTTCCTCTTTAAACATGTGAGGACGCAGTCAGGGAAGGGCTGACATAAACCCCACTGTTTCCCTTCTCCCCAAGGCCCTCTGCAAAGAACTCCAGCAGAGGGAAGGGTGCTTTGTCATCCATCAAACAGAAATTCAAATCCGGTTGAAGAAACATGAAGTATTTCTCTCCCCTAAAGCCAGATGCCATGAACTCTGAGCCAAGTCGTTTTCTCCCAGGCAATGTGATTATGAAATGCCTGTCCCCTTTGTCCGCATAGCCATCCCTTTCTGCTATCTTACGTTTTCTTCTTCACAACTTGGTTTTTCCCACCATCTTTCAGATGAGGGCTGGAAAACAGTCATTTTACAGTTTCTCTTTTTTTGGCTCCACAAATTTGGGGAAATGGAACAGACATCTGTTGTACCACATCTTTTGTTCTCTGATGCTTTTCCTCCAGGGTCTAATTTGACTTGGTTAAATGATTATTGAATACTAACTAGAACTTCAAGTTCTTGCAGGCAGCAGAATCTACTTGATACAGCTGTATTAGGCCTTCACCAAGGTCAAAGCAGAAAGAATTGCAGGTCACCATTTGAAAATGTAGTCACTTTTCATTTAGTTCCAGTTGTTGCTCTAAGCAACAATGAACAAGAGAGCTCCTGTCCATGCTCTTAAGGAGTGTACATTCCGGGGACATTCACTCCTGAATAAAATTTATAAAGAGAACTTAGTACATGTTAGATATGGTTCATCATTAAACAAATCAGGAACAATCTCTGGACTGATGGTTATATTTGTGTGTGTGTGTGTGTGTGTTTGGGGGAGGCAGAGTACAATATACTTAAGTAAATATTATGTTAAAAAGTGATAGATCAATGCTAGGGAAAGAAAACAAGATAAGGGGGCATTAGGAATGTTGGAAGGGGTTTACAATTTGAAATCGAGTGGTCAGGTAAGTCGCATTGAGAAGGCAATGCTCGAGCCAAGACTGGTGGAAAAAGAAGGCAGCTTGTATATTTGGGGAAAGCTCAAGCGCCAAGGCCCGGGGGCATGAGTGTGAACAGCTTTCCCAAAGAACAGCAAGGGAGGCCAGTTTAGCTGAAGCCGAACGAGCAGCGTGGGAACAGTAGAAAATGGTTAGGGGCAGATCACGGAGAGTTCCCAGCCGATCCGAACTGAGGATCCTTGGAAAGCACTGAGCAGAGAGCTAGTTTGATTGATGGCTTGGAGGGAGTGATCTGCTGCTGGGTTCAGGCTGCACTGTGTGGGTGCAGGGTGGCAATCAACCCGGAGGCCAGTGCAATCCCACAGGTGGTGCACACCAGAGGGGTGGCAAGTGAAGGGGACCAGAGTGGGCAGGTTCGGGATCAAAGGTGAAGTCACAGCCGATAGGATGATGCGAAAGAGGCAGGGATGACTCCAAGGTTTTTGGCCACGAAGAATGGAGGTAGCCATCGCTTGGGAGAGAACGGTTTCGTTTTCTTTCAGTGCATTTGACCAGGAGCTCCACTTGGGCACGCTGGGGTTGAGGGGGGTCCATTCGCTAGCTGGATTTTCAAGCCGGGGAAATAATTTTGGGGTCGTCTCTAGAGTCTCAGGACCTGGAACCCTGCTCCAAAGCCTCGACGACCCCGTGGAGGTCTCCTGAAGCGATCGCGCGCCCCTCCTCTAGGCCCTCATAAAGGCCGACACATCCTTGGCACCGCAACCCCTCCAGCTGCCGACGCCGTTCTCTTTCTTGTTAGGGAAATGGCGAGAAAAATGAAGAAACGAAACGGCGCGCTGCGGTACGGCGTCCTCTCTCTAACTCAAGGCCGGGAGACAGGCATCGCCCGCATGCGTGGAACCCGTGTCCAGCCCCAGGCCTCACAGCCTCGCGGCGCCTCAGCGAAGCCCGGACCCGCGACCGGCGGGCGGGCGGGCGGGGCCTGAGGGTGGGCGGGGCCAAGCGCGAGCGCACGCCACAGAGGGGGGCGTGGTCGGCGTGGCGCGCGGGCTGCCGGCCTTGGCGCGCGGCGCCCTCCCTCCTGCCCTGCCGCGGGTGATCAGCTGGTCTGCGCTCCCCTGACGTGTGCCGGGGCACGTCACTGCCGAATGGCAGCCTCCAGAAAGGCACCGCGAGTAAGGTGAGGGGACTCTGCCGGGGAGCCGGCGCCCGCGCTGTGTGCGGCCACCCTGCCCGATCGCGCGTGTTGCACCCGGGAGGGCAGGGGCGAGCGAGTGAGGGGTGGTGGGCGGGCCGCGGTGGGGCTAGGGCCCATGCTGGCCCGATCCCTGAGAGTAGGAGCCGGGGGACGGAGCCATGCAGCCGGGCGAGATCCGGTTCGTTTCCGGCGGAGCTTCGGGCACGCTGCGGGAGCCCAATCCTGGCCTTGGGACGAGTGTTCCCAAAGACCTGCCGTATTCGGCCCGGGCGCGGTGGCCCTCACCGCCCCCAGGCCCCACAGGAAGGCCCCGTTACTGCAGGAAGTTGGTTCCTCCTGGCTCCTCCTCGGGTCTGGGGAGATGTGCGAGCCCCCCTACCTTCGCGCCTGTCTGGGCGTCCAGTCCTCCAGTTACAGCCCTGACAGTACTGACACCTGCATTTTGCCCGACTGATCTGTTACTGCCATGAAGCTGGGCAGCCGCGGGGCCCTCCCCACCCAAAAGGTTTCAGAAGCTGTGTGAGTGAATATATTGGCATAACCTTAAGGGATATGCCTGGAATTTCTCCCTGGGCACAGGTAAGGGAGAGGGATAATCCCCTGACCTCACGTTAAACATGTGTTATTCCCCCCAACTCCCCATAACTAGAGCATACTTACCAGAGCAGCTAATAAGGTGAGAGATGGAGAGATAGGATCAGAATTCAGAGGTCAGAAGCTAAGTTCTCCCTGGCAACGCACCGGGGGGTGGGGGCACCCACCCTCTAATCAGTTGAGAGGTGGGAGAACTCACTTTGCAGTTAGAGCAAGCTTACTTCTGAACGCAGACCATGGCCTGTGCTTGTGTTTGTGAGTGGACTGGCCTCAAGCCCGCCTTCACCAGAGCTTGTCTTTGCTGCAGTGTGTTAGAGGTGAACAGAGAACGTGAGTTGCCCCGTGGAAGGCTATAGGGAGAGGGGTAAACCTCCTTGGGGAAGGAGCTTTTTGTAAACTGAGTCCTGGACATGGAGTCAGCTGAGTGAATAATGAGTTGAGGTTGTAGGCCCAGAGATCATCTTTGAGGACAAGGCAGTCTTTGCCGGATTCATAGAATCACAGTATTTTAGGATCAGAAAGGTCTTTCAATATCAGCTGCTACAGCCTAATTACCTGGCACCAGAGTCCACTGAAAGGTGGAGAGAGGGAAGGCCATTTGTCCCGGGTGCCTCTGCTGGTGGTAGGATTTTGAGTGCCTTCTGTGTGAAGTGAAGATTTCTTTCAGTTTCAGTGATAGGAACTGAACTCAAAATTGTCTTGGTAAAGTGGAGTTGAGCTAGCTGAGCCCAGGAACACCAACACTGGCATCAGACTTGGCCTCTCTTTTGCAACTCTTGGCTCTGATTTCCTAAGCATTGGCTTTGTCCTCAGGCTGACTTTCTCCTTAAGGAGGGGCAGTTTTAGCTGACAGCCCCAGCAGAAATAGAGTCCTCTTTCCTGATGACTGGGGCAGAAGCCCCAGCTCTGAATCCCATCTGGCGTACTTGATTCTATATAATCGTCCATCCCTGAATCAATGATTATAGCCAGAAGGATGGATTAGCCAGGCCTGGGTCCCAGAACCTAGTGGGTGAGTGGATGAGACTTATCCCAACCCCTTTGACTGAAATCAAGGGGGGACAGCCTCAAAGGAAAAACCAGGGTGCTTATCCAAAAAGGAGAGTTGGATTCTGGGTAGACAAGACAGTTTGGCTTACTTCCTCCCCCAGAACTTGTTCCATTTTACCTTTGTGTCATCTTACCAGGTAGATTGAGCATGCTGATCTTTGTTTTGCACTGTCCTGAGTAATAGACATGTATGATTCTCATCATGGACTGGTGTAGAGGGGGAGGTAGAGGGATGGGTATCCAGAGCTCTCCTGGGATTTCTTTTGCAAAGAGAAAGAAAAACGAGGTCTTTAGTACTTCTGCCATAATGATCTTATATAAAGATTGAACCAGGAGGTGCTGTGCAGTTTTGTTTTTTTTTTTTCCCCCACTGTTACTCACCTTGTGGCTCTTCAAGACATGGAGAAAGGTGTAGGCTGAAGAAGCCCCAGGAAGGGGAAGAATGCTAGCTGGAAGTTGGGAGGCCTGAGTTCTAGTTCTAGCTCTGTCACCAAATAGCACTGAAGTGTTGAGCGAGTCGTTGGATCTCTGTTTCTCACCGTCTTTGTCCAGAGGAGGGAATTGCGTTACATGGTCTCTGAGGTACATTCTTGTAGATTTAACATTTATTGATAATCCTGCTTTGACAGAAGCTGTCCAAGAAAGTGAGGGGAGGTTGGCTGTTTGACACTACAGAGACCAGGGGGTTATAAGAGCAAGGCAATTTATCTGCTTTTATGGCTGTTGTGATCTTGACAGAGAGATGGGGGTGGTGGTGGTCACAGAGAGAGCTTGAACCCGCCTGGCAGAACTGGTTTCTGATCTTCACTTTGTAGGTACAAAAGTGAATGGGCTATGTAAAGTTCTCTTTATTTCTTTTGTCAGGTGAATTAATAGGACTACTCTGCCGAGTCCTATGTGTCTAAACCAGTGATTGGGTCCAGTTAGTTTTATACATGTATAATACAGAAAATTTGACTTCCTTGACTCATCATGTCAACTTATGAAGTCATGGGAAGTTGAATGAGAAGGTAATTTGTATTCTTATATAAGAAAAAGAGGTCTGGGAAGTCCTGTGGTGTAGGAGGTTAAGCTATTGCTTAGGATGCTGTCATCCGATATCAGAGTGCTGGTTTAAGTCCTGGCTCCTCCACTTCTGATCCAACTTCCTGCTAATGTGTGACCCGAGTGCTTCAGTTCCTGCCACCATGTGGGAGACCCAGATGGAGTTCCTGGCTTTGGCTTGGCCCAGCCTGGCTATTAGGGCCATTTAGGGAGTGAATTAGTAGATCGAAGATCTCTCTCTGTCTCTCTTTCTTTTTTTTTTTTGTTACTCTGCCTTTCAAATAAATAAATATATAAATAAATCTTTACAAAAGAAAAAGAGGCATCTTTGTAAAATTTGTAGTGATGTTTTTGGGATACAATTCATTATCATACATTCCATCTATTGAAATGTATAATTAAAAAATTAATTCACTGAGTTGGGCAACCATCACCACAATTTTAGGATATGTTCATCACCCCTAAGAGAAATCTTATACCTATGCTCAAGCCCTCCTTATTTTCATTAGTCCTATACTAGCCCTTGGGAGCCACTAGTCTACTTGCTGTCTCCAAAGATTTGCCTCTTTGGGTCATTTTATATAAATGGAATCATGCACTATGTAGTCTTTGTGACAGGCTTTGTTTCCCTTAGCGTAGTATCAAGGTTCATGTATGTTGTAGGTGGCTACATGGGGAGGCTGTCCCACTGCCCAGCCCCTTCTGACCCTCTAAGGGTGGTGGGGCAGAGCTTCTGGGCTTCCTTGGGACTGTGGCTGCTGCTGCTGCTTTTATAGATTTATTTATTTGAAAGTGACAGAGGTCTTCTTTTTAAAAAATATTTATTTGAAAGGCAGAGATAGAAAAAGGGGTGGAGAGAGAGAGGGAAGGAGGGAGGGAGGGAGGAAAGGAGAATCTTCCATTCATGGGTTCACTTCCCCAAATGGCCACAATGCCTGGAGCTGGGCCAGGCCAAAGCCAGGAGCCAGGAGCTTCATCCAGGTCTCTATCCAGGTCTCCTAAGCAGGGGCTTAAGTACTTGGGTCATCTTCCATTGCTTTTCCAGGATCATTAGCAAGGAGCTGGATCGGACGTGATGTGGCCGGGGCACAAACTGGCCCCCAGATGGGATGCTGGCATTACAGAGGCTTAACCTAAAATACCACAGTAGGTGTGATTTTTAAAATTGTCAAATAATATTCCATTAGAAGGATAGAATGCTTTCATTTATCCATTCATCAGTTGATGAGTTGATTGACAGTTAGGTTGATTCATTTTTTGGCTATTAGAACTATAAACTTTTGTGTACAAGTTTTTATGAGGTTATTTATTTTTAATTCTATTGAGTGCATGCCTAGGAGTATATACTTAGCTTGAGTTATGTGGTAACTCTGTGTATTTCAGACTGTTTTCCAAAACCCCTACATTTTATATTCCCACCAACAATGTCTGTGGGTTTTAGTTTTTCCACATCCTCACCCATACTTGTTATTGTCTGTCTTTTAGATTATACCCTTCCTAGTGGATGTGAATCATTGTGGTTTTGATTTACATTTCCCCCATGATTAATGGTGGTTGCATTTTTTCATGTGCTTCTTCAGCATTTATATATCTTTATTGAAGAATATCTATTCAAATATTTTCTCCATTTAAAAACTGGGTTATCTTTTTGTTGTTGTTGTAATAATTCTTTATAAATTCTAGATGCTGACTTCAAATATTTTCTCCCATTTTGTGGGTTGTGGGTTGTCTTTCTGCCTTCCTTCTTCTTCTTCCTTTTTTTTTTTTTTGGAAGATTAATTTATTTATTTGAAAGACAGAGAGAGAGGGAAAGGAGAGAGGGAGAGAGGGGGAGAGGGAGAGAGGGGGAGAGGGAGAGAGGGGGAGAGGGAGGGAGGGAGGGAGGGGGAGAGAGAGAGAGAGAGAAAGAGAGAGAGAGAGAGAGAGAGGTCTTCTATCCACTGGTTCACTCTCCAAGTGGCTACAATGGCCGGAGTTGGCCTGATCCGAAGCTAGGAACCTGGAGCTACTTCTGAGTCTCTCATGCGGGTGCAGGGGTCCAATGACTTGGGCCATCTTCTTTTTTTTTTTTTTTTTTTTTAAGATT